TAACGACCAGGATGTAAAGAAAACAACAGCGTTTTTTCACTGGAACTCATGGAATCTGAATTTTAACATTTCAGAGGAAGATCCACTCATCTCAGCATGCTGAACATTTGAAATGACTCCAAGCAATGACATCTAAGCCTGTTGCTTTGATGTAAAGCACGGAACCTTAATGCACAGATATTCAGATGACTGTTAGAATAGAACACAGCAATAAGCTAACAGTCCTGTTACTGTTTCACTTATACCCCTCATCCAAATACCTTCTACAGAAGCACCATAGAGAGCGTTCTGACCAGCTGTCTCACTGTGTGGTGTGGAGGCTGCAACGCCTCAGACTGGAAGAACAGCAGAGAAGTTCATAGGGGCTCCTCTTCCCTCCATCCCAGCACTGTGTGTCCTGAGCCCAAAACATTATCAATGACCCCTCACACCCCCACCATGGACTGTTCTCCCTGTTGCCCTCTGAGAAGAGACTACGAAGCATTCCATGCAGGTCCAGCAGATTCTGCAAGAGTTTCTTCCCCACTGCCATCAGACTGTTGAAATCTCTAAATCATGTCACAGACTCTGCATCACACTGATAATGCCAAACCAAAATACTGCATATTTCCACCATATATATTTGCCTTGAAATGCTCTGAACTTCCATATCAATGCGTTTTTGCACCATGTTTTTTGATCACTGCTGCACTTTATGAAATGAAATCATGTTCATGTTCATTTTGCTGCTAAGCTGCTTCTCATCCACTGTCTGAAAGCTGTATAAAACCAAATGTCATTTTGTATACACTCTGTATAGAATATGAGAATAAAAGTTTTCTAAGTCAACAGAGTAGACAGGATGCAGACATATATGAAGCAAAACAAGTCATGTTAACCGTCATGGTTGAGCTTGATGTTTGAGAAAATACCCTTTTTTTCTTCATTTTCACATCCAGATATATTGCAAAGTAACAATCAGCCTTACAGCAAATTAAGCAATAGTAGATCATCTGGTTACCTTTGATGTGACCCTGCGACAGGGCATAGTAAGTAAACTCCACTAAATCCACATGTAGTTTCCAAACAGTTTTACTGAAAAACCTCACCAAGTATTTAGTTCCTGTTCCTGAAACAGCTTAAAGCTCTTGGACTACAAAGTTATCAGTACAGCCATTTGAAAACTCAGAGAAAAATCATATTTCACAAAGGACAAACAGTTATGACCCTGCTGCCTGAGTCAAGATCAGCATTTCCTCCCTCCCTTCTTTCCTCTTCTTTCCAGCCATCTGGTAAATCAACTCCCACAGCTTTGCTGGGGTATACAGTGCTATCATCAAATATACAGATTTTACTTCCACAAAAAGCCTGAGGGGGAACTCTCCTCTGGGCTGTGTAAGTTTGATGATCAGACAGTGAGACTTGAGTTTACACGCTGGTAGAGATTAGCAGAGAGGCAGGATGGGGTAGGAGTAAGAGCAGAAAATAAACTGGGTTTAGGTGAGCAGGAGATCATGGTGGAGTCCTATGAGGAAACTGCGGAGTTGGGAAATTAAAAAATACAGCATTGGGGATTGAGGTTACAGATCAGGGCTTGATAACAATGTGGCTGTGTTGCACACAGCGGTTTAGGTCAGCTGGTGAAACACAACAAGAACTGGAAATGATGTGATAAGCACAAGGCTCCAACTTTAAAGTTTGAAAAGGCCGGGACCCATTCAGGCCTCCATCACTGAGAATTTGGAGTGCTGCAGAGATAGGGATGCAACTACTGCACCCTGAGGAGGCAAAAATGAAAAGATTTGAGCTTCTCCCACAGTGGGAGTGGGTACAGTGTAACAGAGCTGGAGCTGAGGTCTACAGGGTGCGCATTCTCCACACTGACCCCAACATTCCTGAAAGAGAAACCTCATCCCTTCCAACTGCACCTCATCCCACCACATTTCTCACACGCAGACACAAAAGCAGCAAACCCACTTCCAAAACGAGCAGATGGCTTTTGTTAACGCCGATCGCTGTGTAATACTAGTGAAAATAAGCAAAGCCTAATCGGTGTGGCCAAGATTTTTCAACCCCGATAAAATTCCACACATTTCAGCCCATGAAAAAAAAACAATGCAGCTTTCAAGTTAAGACACAAAACAGGCCCCCAATTCCTTTCTGTTGTTGGGGGGGGGGGGGGGGCAGCCTTACCCCCCCTTTCCTACAGCATACTGACCCACTTACTCAGCACGTCCCAACCCCCGCTGCTTTTATTGTGTGAAACAAACTCATCATTCATTATTGACTGAGGTCCACAATTACCACCCACTTTTTTTTTTTTTTTTTTGGGGCTCAGAAAGAAGAGGGAGCATGGCGCGACTGGGGGAAACACAGCTCATTAGATTGGTGATGGCTTGCCACTACAATTAACATGCATGTAGAGCAAATTAGTACTCCACTTTCCAGCATTCATGGTTACACGGTCACCTGAAACATCACAGCCATACAAAGGGAAGAAAATACTTAGACTCAGGATGGAGCTTTTGTTTTTATGGATCAATTCAGCCCCACATTACTCTTATCAAAAAGAAGATCCAATGTATCTAATATAATTTAAAAAATGTTTACACATCCACAGGAAGGTAAGAAGCAAAAAAATTAAAATATACCTTTTATAGTATGAGGGAAACGTATAGCAAACAGACATAGGGGAGGCGGCATTATGCTGTGGGTGTTTTGTTTCTATAACAGGGACAGGAAAGTTGGAGAGAAGGCACCTAAAATATAGGAAAAAGAAAGCATACGTAATTGTTTCCACCTAATGGAAACAACAGATGTGGCCTCGGAACAATGCCTGTATTGAATTTGAAGGAAAAGATTCAGCCTTAGCGATGCTCTAAAAGTGAAACAATGACTTTATCTGGCCAGGTGTTTACAAAGCAGCCAGGGTAAACCCCCGACAGCAAACTCCTTTGAGAATCAGGACCTCTGTTCAACAAAAGGAAACATCCTCATAGACCTTTTCTTGCCAAGTGTCACCGTGGACCCCTGCCTGGCCCTCAGGAAGCCCAGAACAAGGACAACTTCCACTCTTTGAGGCGAACAGGACGCAGATGAGCCAGAAACCCAACTCTGAAACTTTAAAGTCAAACTACAGATCAGTATTGATTCAGCCTTACGATCTTTTAACAAGGGCCAAGTTTGCTGTGAAGTCCAGATTTAAGGAAATCTGTTTTGTTGTTATTTTAACCGTAACTCTAAAAAACACTGTTTCAGTGTCTTTAAATTCGAGATTTTCTTCCAGTAAAACATGATATAAAATGTAGCAGAACCAGATAAGAAAACACTCCGACATTTTCTGATGCAAAAAGATAAGCTACATTTGACCGTTTTGATCCCAGATTGTTTCGCTTGCACAACTCTGCTGAATGCAACTACATTTCTGGCAGAAGATAAATATAGTTTTTGGTTCTGACCACTGCTCATAAATTACTCTGGCTGACCAATACATCCAAGTCATTACAAAATGAAACGTTTAAGCTCTTTGCATTCCTTTTGCAAACATGCAAAACATCAGCAGAAAGCCATCTTCTTATCACAGAGTGAGATCTACGCTGGTAGGGCTGGAATTTAAAGGTTAATTGAAGTCAGCTGCTTCTCTTCCAGGATGTGTGCAAAGATGCCACTGGAGTAACAAGATATAGCTAACCTACATTAACCACAGCGGACTGGACATAATCATACGACAACCACACACTTCCAGGAAAGCATTTATTTTGACACCCCTAAACAAAACAGGAAGGACTAAACTACAACATATAGAAATAGTTTAAATGCTGTCTTAAGAATATTAAAAGCTTAACTCATAGCATCACTGAGGTTTTAACTAAATAGTCGTATTTAAGGGAAACGGAATAAAATAATCAGATATTCACATTAGTTTGGAATACTGCACGCTTTGGCTCTTCCTCTACTGAGTGATTTCATCATGAGCTATAACCGGAGAACATTTCAGCCTTTGAGCAGTCAGCTTTCTCCACTACAGCCAGGTTTGTCATTAAAACTGTGGTTAGTAAGTCCTAAAACCTGCACAGACCCAATTGCAGGCAGAACTGTACCAACTTCCAAGCTGCATGAAGACGGCCAATGAACCGGTGAGGAACAAACTTCAGCAACATTTGAAGTGAAGGAACACACCTTATTTAAGATTGAAATGCGTTGATATCAAATAAAGAGTGTTCCTGCACTTTTAAGTGTTGCTGAAGTTTTTTTCCATACCAAGTCATGAAAACGGCCATCATATGCAGATTTACTGTTATCCAACCATCTTAGTAATTTGAAATATTGTGTGATTTAATGGTTTAATCCTGATTCATACCATCAAGCTTCCAAGATATAAATCAGCCTTCTAGTGTAAATAGGTTTACACGATCAACTATAAAGCTTAATAAGCACGATTCCTGTGAACTTTAACTTTTATGTTGAGGCCTTCAGGACCAAAATTTCTAGAAGCTTTCAACCAACATGCATGTCTATGTCTGTACGTCGCATCAACCCCAGTAAAGCACTGTGGTGGGGGCATCATAGTGTAGGGAAGCCCCCTCTTCAGCACAGCCAGGGAAAGTCATCTACTTTCACTGTCATCATTTGATCAGCTGCTGGGTGAAGGCCTGAGAGGTTTGTAGGGTTGGTTTACGTCAGTCTGTTACTTTAGTTTGAGGCTGTGATGTGACTCAGCATAGAAAGGTTCTATATTTTATGTGTGTGAAGTGATAGATGACATAAAAAGGCATCACTGACTCCTTGTTCTGTAAAATCTATTCACGCAAGGCTTCTGCTCTGACTTTAGCGGATTCTGATCAAGTTTTGAAACTTCCGTTGTCCCGACAAATGGTGTAGGAATCAAAAACTTCCTCCAAACACAAAGGAGAACCATCGTTTTCCCCTCATGGTGCATTTATCTCCACAGCTCTCTGTGACAGGAGACATTCCTGGACGGAGGGAGGGGGGACGGCAGTGAGGGAAGGGATGCTGATTACCTGCTTGGCCTCCTCCAGAGATGTCTGCAGTCGGCTTATTTCCTTCTCATACTGCTCCTTCATCTTGTCCACCTCCTGGTCGTGAGCGGCTACTTCGTCCTTCAAAGCTCCTTTGAGGGCTACCAGCTCCCTTTCTCGCTTCCTCAACAATTCTTCCAAATCCTCCTTAAGTATGAGAGCTTCCTGCATTTCCACCTTCAGCTGCATCATTTCCTGTGAAAAAGACAAGCAGCTGGTGTTATTTCAGACAGGACTTTAGCTGTAAAATTCAACCAATATCCTTCCCTTCTTGTCATTAAAACACTAAGATTTCTAAAACTGGAGCAGAATCTGGAGATTTTAATACCACTCAATCCAGAGTCATGCACATAAACAACTAATATCTCCTTATTTTAAATAAAAGCAAATGTTTGAACCTCTAAACAGAGTTAAATCAGTGTTTCTATTTTTTTTTTACTCAAGGTTTAACAAAGGATGCTAATCATTTTAAACTTCATGTTGTTCGTTTGCAGCTTAGATTGTTTTGTGCCAAGCTTTTACAGGAATTTAATTCATTTAAAGAACTGAAAATAGTTTAGTTTGATTAAACAGGGTGTAGTGTATAGTGTTTAGGAGACATTATGCTATAAATATATAATTCATAAGAATTAACTAAATTGTTTATGAAGCAATAATCAAAAAATAATTACAATGCTTCTAAGAGAAGTAAACCCATATAAAGATTTGTTTTTCCTCACACTTTTCTTTTTTTTCATATAAGCTTTAAATATTTTGGATTAAATAATTGTTTATGTACAAGATGACTTGGGTAAATACAGAAAAGTGTTCTTTAAATGTTTATTTTGTGTTGTTTATGTAGTAAAGTAACCCACCCAAACCAGCCTGGACCGGTGTAAGCAGGGTAACTCCACTCTATCTTTAACAACTGGTTGTGCAGACGCTGGTAGCAACAACAGCCATCAAGCATTAGTGACAACCTGCAATGAGTCTTACATCACTGCAGAGGGATTTTGTGTCTCTGCTCTGTAGAATTGTTAGAATTCAGCCACAATAAAGGGTTTCTGTAGAAGAGGGGCTCTTTAGATTTACGCCTCAATCTTGTTTTACTGAAAAGTTGTATTAGATTAATAAAACTCTCCTTCAACAATGTTTCAGTTTGGTTCAGTCAGTTTACTTCTTCCCAAATATATCTTCCCAAAAATCTTTTTTGTTGATGGGAAAGATGGCATTGAAACAAGTTGTTTTGGCAATGAGTCTGCACTGTTTACCTTAGAATCATCCCATGCCTCTTTCTCTTTGTTAAATCCCACAACGCCCAGGCTTTAATTTAGGAAGAGCGGCTAATCCTTGCCTGACAATAAACACCAGCGCTTACCATCATGAGGACCTCCTTCTCTCCGTCACCTGCGGACCTCTTGGCTGAGTCCAGCTCATCGTGCATTTCTGACAGCTGGTCCTGCAGGTCCCTGATCTCTGTCTGGTACTTTTCCCGTTCCATCTTCACCTGGTAGAGCCTGACAAAGCACAGGACATCTCAGCACAAGAGCGAGTTCTTCATGCACCTGCACTTTAACTCACGCATATAAATGGGAGCACCTGCTTGAGCTGAACGCTAGACCTCAGCTCGACTCAATGCTCATGTGACACTTGGGAGATTATTGCTGCTAATGGATGTGAAACACCTTTCATATATCGCTGAAGGTTATATAAACTTAAACACTGAACCTATTCTTAGTAAAAGAAAATTCTGTTTGAAAATTAAGTTTGATGGTAAATGTCTCGTCCTTTTATAGTGCTTTATGAAGTCCAAGAACCTCACAGGACTTCACACTGCATTTATTCCTTCACCCATTCACACACTCTGATGGTGGCAATCTACGCTGTAGCCATAGCTGCCCTGGGGCTCACTGACAGAAGCGTCGTGGCTGTCATATAGTCTGCCCCTCTAGGCCTCTGACTACCAACACCAGGCAAGGCAGGACAGAGCTAGAGTCAAACCAGCAACTCACTGCCTCAAATTAAGAGCATGCAAGCATATTTATGAAAAGAAAAAAAAAAAAAAACAGATTCCAGAACCAACGCCTGAAACACTTGCAGTTTTTGTTCAACTGTCGACAAAACCAATATCTATACATTGTTTTACTGCCGAGACATAAACTTCGTCCAGTTTAAAGTTAACCAGAGTTGAAACACTTACACTGAGTGGACAGTTTCCAAAGAAAAGACAAACTAGCAGGTTAATCATTCCTGAGTCATGGCTGCACTCACTCTTCCATGGAGGTGTTGAGCTCAGCCTCGGTTTTATCCAGTTTCTCCTTTAGCTTCTTGCATTCATCCAAACTCTGCTGCAGTTCCTGCTGAAGCTCATTTAAATCTGCTGCTGTCCTTCTGTCAGCCTGATTCTTCTGGAGACAAAAACAGAAAGCAGCCTTTTTTTTTCCACTGGAAAAAATCCTATTTAACTTAACCTGAAGTGACCATTTTCAACTTTGTTTCCATGGTGTAGTCTTTAACAGCTTTCTTTTTATTTAATCAAAATAACACAACTTTTGATTGATTTAAAAAAAAAAAGAGTTTTAGCTTTTTAGTTAAGTAAGTAAGTAAATAAAATATACAAAAACTTTGCACATTAAGATGTAAAAATCTATGCACCAAGTGCTACCTACAGCAATACAAATCAGAATTATTTAACACATTATTACTCCTTTCTTTAACAAGCAAAAAACAAAATGTATTTTTTATTTTATTTTTTTTTATATAGTTTATATAATCGACACGGTTAAATATGGTTAAATCACATAGGGGACCAACTGACTAAAGCAGAGAGATGATTAATTATTAATATGGCTCTGTTTGTATGTTTAATAAATAATTATTGTAAAAAAAAAAAAAAAAACAGATCTTTGTAATGTTTTCCAATACAGATATGAACAATATCTTTAACGTATTATTTTAATAATTATTATCAAAGCTCTTTATTGAACCAAAGCTATGATTAAAGAATATTTTATACCAACTAGTTGGGGATGAATTGCATATTAACCAACCAGTGTCAGTTATTCAGCTGCTGTTACCTTTGTTTGTTCCTCCAGCTGTCTCTGCAGCTCAGTTATCTCTTTTTCCAGTTTAGTATTTTGTTCCTGCAGATCTTTGGTCTGTGCAGCGAGGTCCAAGGACTGGAAGAGCAAATCAGATATTTATCATTTGCAGAAGGCCATTTCCTATAGCTCTATCATTAATAAGAACAAACAGAACATGTAGTCATTGTAATCATCTTTGGGGGATGTGAATGATACAAAAAATATCATTCAGATTACAGGAAAAGAGAAGAAAATATAGATAACTCCCTGACAGGAGGAGAGAAAAATGCAACTGTGTGCAAACAAAAAAAAGAAAGCACACAATGCAACAAGGCACTCACTTTATTTTCGCCCTGTGTGTTTGCTGTGGCCCGAGACTTCAGCGTCTGTATCTTCTCAAAAACCAAGTTCACCTTCCTCTTCGTCACCTCGTCATTATCGTTGCTTCTGCATGCAGGGGAGAAGTTAAATATTACAGTTAAGCAAAAAGTTTTGGTAAAACATCTGTTTTCATGCAGGATCAGGAGTTGAAATCCAGGCTGTTGACGGAGGAAAGCAGTTCAATCCCAGCTTAGTAGGGGTCGGGAGGGTTTTATAGCGCTTTGATGTGTCACCTCACAGAACAATAAGCTTCATTACAGCATCAAATGAACCGTGAGGCAACATGAATTTTCTTTTCTTTTTTTTTTGTTTGCTGTATAAAGGAGAATGCTATTTTGTGTCTGCAGAAGGGAAATTAATGGGAACAAACCAGAAGTATTCCATTAAATCATCCACTATTGTAACTTAAATATGACTTTAATGCCTATGAGCAGCTTCCCATCATTTTACAATAAATCAAAGACAAAGCTGTTCTTGTTTTTAAACACATGTACATAAATAAAAGGGGGGCTTTTTCTTCTGAGGAAAATCGTCCAGCTTCCAACTCAACAAAACCAAAGTTTCACAACACTAAATGACAGCAGCAACTAATCTTTTTTTTAAAGAGAAAGCCAAAAACCCCCTTGTGTGTCTTCTATGCTCTCCTCCGACAGATGATTTTCATTAGAACAGTATAACCCCTGTCAGTGGGTGTTTGTCTTCTGAGCCTGGGGAATGCAGCTCAGTTTTTTTTGCCCGTGTGCTTCCATCTGTGTTTCCTTTCCTTTCCTTTGTCCTGTGACTCCGGACCTGCGCTCCGACACACCCAAGCAGTTTCCTGAATTTTCTGCAATATTCAAAGCCGACAGCAAATGCAGGAACTGGACCCCGAGTGGAAGGTTTCCCAGTGCAAAACCATTAATACAGCAAGTTCACTCCAAACACTTTGCAAAGGTTAGAAACGATAAAAAATATTTCTGTATGATTATGATGATTGATAGGAAACTGGCTTATGTGAGTAGTTATTTCAGAGAGGTTTTCATGCTATGCGCTCTGGCTGTCTTTTTGCTGTCAGTCAAGCAAGCATCAAACAAAGAACAAAGGCGGCAGAGGCAGCGGGGAACTAAACAGTGATTTGGATTTTAACACATCAATAAGGTTTCCTCAGCATCTTAAACCTTTATTAAACATCAAACTAGCAGATTCTTGACATGCCATAATTTCAGTTTAGCGCTTCAGTTAAAATTTATTTGTGATGCCAAATTTAGCATGTCAAGTTCAGGTTTGTGAAAAAGTGACTTATGCTCTCATTAGATGATGAACTTACAAAGATTATTTTTACTTGATAAGTTTAATTTAAGAAAACCTGATATCAAACAAAAAACTATAATATTATTTCATTTACTACTTGTTTGATATAGGCACCTACTAAAATGTGTACTTTTAAGTGGACATTCTCGTTCATAGGACACAACCATTTTGCTATTCCAGACTTTATGGAATAACCTAAGGTTACCAAGCTAATGCTCGCTGGTAAGTTGACCTTCCTAAACTGCTGCCAAGAACTTAGCGACTGCAGTTTTAGAACAGCATTACCTTTACAGGTGAGCCAACTGGACCTCTGAATGCAAATTTTTCGAAATAACCCAGCTGACCATTACTGTGCAGCAGCAAGCAGGGAAGGGGTATTGCTGATTTGCTTAATGCTTGAAACAACAGGTGTAAACTCTGATATCCCCAGGACTTTATTTTGCATTTCATTAAAAGGTATTTCAACCACAGGAAAATGTTGGTTTCAGTAGATTTCAAAGCACAAACTTTAAAAACCTTATCAGAGCACAGTACCATGCTAACTTGGATTAGCAGAAGGGGGGTTTATTTCTGAACTTAAATGTTAAATTCAAACCATGAGTTATTTCTGTGTTAAACAAAAGAGCAACTAATAATTTCTCTAATAACTGCCTATCATGAAACCTGAACTTAATTAGAAATAAATTGTCTCTCTTCTTTAGGTGCTGTTTCTGTTCTGTTATAGGGAAATCAGAAGGCAATTTCTATAAAAACAAATCCTAGATAATCCGAAATGGCTGAGAAAGGAGACACATGAGCACATTAGCTTTTTAACCAGTTATTCAAAATGTTTTAGTAACATCAGGTGACTTTTTCTTTACATAAGCAGATAAGTTTAAATAAAAGTCTAGAAAACTCACCCGTCTTTAAGGTAACTGAACAAAATCTGTTTGGCTGTCTCCTCGTGTGTTTGTTGTGAAAGCTCCTGCTGACCTTTCAGGAGATCAGGTGTGGCCTGGATGTGGAGGGAAAAAAGACAAGTGGGGCGTAATGAAACCCATGAGGTCAGAGGGAGAAAATCCAATTTAAAGCAAGTAAAACCATGTGTTTGTAATTACAGGCTGGGTATGTGGTCTTTTACCTGAACTTCTGCCTCAGTGCTGGTCTTCTTCTCAGTGGAGGAAGAAGGTTTGGACAGAGATGTGGATAGTGACGTTGTTGAGACTTTGCTGATAGAGGATGGATTTTCTTCACTTGTTACGCTCTTAAAGGAAGGTATAGAGGGACGCGACTGTAACTTTGTGTAGCCCCGTATGGAACCAGTTCCTTTGGAAATGGAGCCCTGGGGGGACCCTGGTGCACTAATGGCCCGAGATGAGGGCCCATCTGCAGCCAAAGGCCAAGGTTCCTGTCCACTGGCCGTCCTCTGAAGTCGCAATTGTGACGGCCGCAGGACGTGCTCCTTAGACGTGCCTCGATATCGGCCAAACTCATCCTGGTGGTTAGAACTACTTCTCAACCCGAAGGCACTGTCAACACTACGTGAACGCTTCCTGTCCTCTGGATCAATTCTGTTTCTGCGCCCCGCCCGGCCCCTCCTGTGATGACCGCCATCTTTGCCATCAAACTTCTCAATGAGCTCATCAACACCAGCGGTGGATCCTGTGTCTATGTCTCTGCCTGAACCAGGGAGGAAGGGAATGTAGCGGCGATTCTCGTGGCGGTTTATTGCGTCTGAATACAAAGCCTCCATCTGCTCATCTATCAGAGACTTACTGGTGGAGGATAAAGAGGAGTGGCGGGAACGGGAGGAGGGCTGAAGGACTGGCTCGACAGAGTCGCTCCGATGCAGTGGAAGGACATCAGGATCATGGCGGTTGCGCTCCAGGCTGGAGCTGGAACTATGAGTAGGAGTGGGCGATGTCTTCCTCTGCTCATTGGAGGGACTTGGCACTGGGGAAGACTGAGGCTGTGCTGCAGGTACTGGTGGAGTTTTAGAGATCGGTTTAGGCTGGGACTGATTAAAACTGGTCAGGTAGGGTTTAAACTGAGGCTGAGCCTGCTGGGACTGTGGTCTATTTTGAGGCTGGGTTGCCTGGACTGAAGGCAAAGACGGAGACTGCGAATTCGGTTTAGGAAGAGGCGCCTCTGTGTTGCCTGTGTTCAGGTTTGTTTGGGATAGCTGCCTCTTTTCCGGCTGTACGCGATCGACGTTCCGATCCAGGCTTGAGGACCTGAAACGTGGGGGGACTTGTACTTCAGACTTTGAGTAAGGATTTGGGTAATCCACCCTAGTGTCAGCTTGTGGTCTAGATGGGAGGCTGTTGAAACCTTCAAGGTTTAGAGAGTTAGTCTTTGGATCATATGGCTGCAGTATCTCCGGATGCCTCTGAAAGTTCAGAAGTGTGGACGGCTTCTTTGCTTGAGATTCATTAACCCCATTCTGAGGACCGGTGTAATTCTTCATCTTCTGTGTTCTGTACTCCATAAAGGGATCGTTGGACCCACCTTCTTTATCTCCTCTGAAATCATACTCTTTGTAATTCTCAATAAAGGAACCTTCTTTGTCAAGGTAGCCATTGCTGTCAGGGTCATTATTAAACTGAGGACCCCTGTCCTGGTTGTTAAGGACAACATAGGGATGTCCATCTATACCCTGGACACGAATACTTAGGCCGTAAGAACCAACTCCATTACTATTGGGTCTGGAAGAACGGGGTGGCTGAGTGTAACCCCGCTGTGGTCCGCTGTTAGGAATGCCAGTCACTCTGTAGGAATCCATCAGGAATGTAATTCGGAAAATAAATCCCCCTCCCTGGATCAGCTGGCCCACCTATGCAAGCAGAGATTCAGAGCGGCTGGATTAGACAGAGATGAGGTTGTATAATTCAACAATGAAAGCAGAACCAAAGAACAAACAACAAACACTTGTCCCAACCAGTTTTTATCCCTTCCACTTTCGTTCTATTTTATAATTTGGCATTCTTTCATATTTCTTTTTCATCTTAATGGGGGATGTTTTCTTTTAGACTGGCTAAATGATTCAGGATACAGAAATCTCACTCTGTTGCATGTAAACATCTCTGAAACCACAATGACCCTGAAGACATGACTCAAAACATGATGCAGGTTTATTTCAGGCAAAAGTGACACAGTTCCATTGAAAATTCAGGAAGTGGGAGGCTGTTAGACTCTTTTAAGGAAGACTGAAAGCAGAAATCTTCACTGGATCCTGCCAAATACAGCTAGTTTGTACTGTTCTCTTGACTACAGCAGATTTTTCCTTCAATGAACAGTTGTCAGCAAAGCCCTGATCCTTATTTACCATCCATCAGATTCCTATAATTGATTGAAGGGATGTATCCAAGAAGATTGAATACTGATACTAAACCAAAAGCTCTTTCAAAACAGTATTGCTTTTAGTGAAATTTCTCTGGTTTTTACAGCATTAAAGAAGGAAAAATAATTAAAAATTATTTATTGGAGGCCCCATGTTTAAGTCTAAAAAGACCTGAAATATAAAGTAAATTCAGTTCATTAACACATACCGACCAGTCACACCAAACACTTAAACCCCTTTACACTGAAGCCACATTCACCTAGTTGCTTTCAACAAAGGCAGCTGGATTCAAACCAACAACTTTGGATTACAAGAGAGCTGCTTTCCCCCCTCTGTACCACACGCATCATCTCCACATATTTTAGAAAGTGACTGTAGAAATTAACATACTGTACTGTTGGTGAGCTGCATTTGCAGCCCAGTAAAACAGAGCGGCCAGCAGTATTTCCTATCAGTTCAACATTTTTAGTTAACACAGGATTTCTGGCAAATTTGCAACCAGGTGGTGAAATACAAAAAAAAAAAAAAAAAGCTAAGCTGGCAACAAAAATACATCTGTTTACAAATATCAAAGTAAGCATCCAAAGCTTACTTTTCATGGGAACCCATTAGCTGGCACCATGTGTTTCAGCTGACAATGGGATTTGAACAGATTCCTGTTTGCCTTGCTGTCAGCGACCCATTCTACCTGATGTTACAATGCAAGCACAGAATGAGAAGAGCACAGAGGAAAGACGCTGATAAGGCTGAAAACAAAGGCCAGGGCATGGAACATCAGCAGGAGATAAGTCAGGAGAGAATGACTCAGAAGGGATTGAGTGTTTAGAAGAAGCAGGTCTCCTATAGAGTTGGAGGATGGTAGGACAACATGTGCTCAGAAAACTCATCTGAGCCGTTTGTTTTTAAATACACTGAGTCAGTACTCTAGATTGATATGGTTTGTCTTAATGAATAATAAATGTGACCATTAAGAATGTGGCGATACGCCATGTATCACCGTACGATTTATCCTGATACAAAGATTATAACTGGTGCAGAACAGCAGAATACCAGGCCTTTGGAGACTGCGCTGCCAAATAGTGGCTGGGGGATTATCATTATATAAAAGTATAACAGTATAATGGATGATTGCCAATTAATTTATTTACATTTTAACATCCATTCAGCTGTATTTTAAGCCGATACAAATATTGTCCAATAAAATATTGTGATATTGTATTTGTTTTTCGTAATACTTTATGACCATATATTAGTGATTACTCTAGTAGAGTATTTCAATTAAATATCAGAAGGAAAGATGTCAGGTGTCACGCTGGAAGACCATAAATACCTTTTTTAGAGGAAGCCTCAACAGAGGCCACACCCACTGAAAATAAGGCTGCTTCATGTTTCTCATTCCAGGTTGACATTCAGCTCAAAAAGCTGTACATTTTCTTCCGTTGGCAGCAATAAAAACACTGAAAACTAAATTCCTATGACACAAGTATGAATCATTTTCCTTTTCATTTCCATAAGCCAGGGACATGCTCCAACTGCAGTTTCAGCCTCAGTTAGTCGGGTTCTGCTTCAGATACGGCAGAACAGGACGTGAGGTAAAGTGTCCCGTCCAAGAGAGAAGTCAAGGACAGAATAAGGCTGGAGGTGACACAATGGAGCCTTTCATGTTTTCTCTTACCACCGTCTGATTAGCAAAGGTTCAAGTAAATGGAAAGAGTTGTTTCCTCTTATTGTGTTTTTCTACCAAGCAACACACCACTGAGCCAAGTCCCTCCATGATGACTGTTACCTTCACTGACCTCACCCACTGAAACTTTTCCTGATTTTGTCAAACTGCACCACCGCCATAAAATTTAATTATTTTTAGTAGCATAAGACAATTTTAAGATTGCTGAAGTAAATAAGTGTGACATGCATATGCATTTATGACCAGTTACTGATGCCTTAAAAAAACTCTTTCTTGTAGGAGTGTAACAAAGTGGTGGGAGTATCATGCTATGGGAATTACTTAAGAGTAAGATGGATGAAGGTAATGGTGCACTTCAAACTCAGATTTGACCAATTCCCAGGCAGAAAGACTGCAAGGACACTCCATGAATTTCTTATTCCAACAGTGAAAGTTTAACCCTATTGAGGGACCAACAATTCAATTACCAATACAGCTGCTTACATAAAGACGATTGTAAACGTTGCTGGTAAATGGTAAAAACCTGGCATTCAAAATTTTCACTTGTAAATGTTTTACTTTAAATTATAGCATAGGAATGAGAAAAATATCTATCTGGTTAATGTCAAATACATTTAGCATCAAAACAAATATTAGCTAAAACTGCTTGCTAGCTTAGGATAGGATAGGATAGGATAGGATAGGATAGGATAGGATAGGATAGGATAGGATAGGATAGGATAGGATAGGATAGGATAGGATAGGATAGGATAGGATAGGATAGGATAGGATAGGATAGGATAGGATAGGATAGGACAGGACAGGACAGGACAGGACAGCACCATTAGATACCTTTGTTTATGTTGTTGTTAGAGATTGGCCTGTTTTTCAGTGTTATCCTGTTTCTCTGACTGGCTGGATGTGCTCTATTTATCCTCTGAAATGAGAGCTAGCTTGGAGCTAGTCCTCCTGGCTGTGTGTTTCCTGGACGGGGCTGCCTTTTACAGTTCCCTTTTGTATCTCTGCTTCTTTCTGTATGTCTGCTTCTATCTCCTCCAACCCCAGTCGGCTTTGGCAGATGGCCGCCCACACTAAGCCTGGTTCTGCTGGAGGTTTCTTCCTGTTAAAAAGGGAGTTTTTCCTCTCCACTGTCGCTACAAGCACGCTCAGTGTGAGGGATTGCCTTCCCTGGTTTTCCTTAGATAGAAAACTTTTAATACATTTGACTGAATGATCCGGTTGAATTGTAAAGTGCCCTGAGATGACATGTGTTGTGAATAGGCACTATGTAAATAAACTGAATAGAATAGAGTAAAAGTCTGTCTTAGTCAGTTAAATAACATGCTGCTGTAATTTCTTCTTTCTTTTTGCACATCTCTGGTGTTGCTGCTTTTTTTCATACATATCCATTACTGTAAAAATGTCCACAACTGTTATAATTTTTCGAGTTTCCAGATACATATATTGTAAAAACACTGTACATTGCAAAACCCTATTTGTTTTATTTCCCTATCTGTTATTTACATACACTCTTCTAAGGTGCACATTGTGTGACCAATTCTGCTATAACCTTTTGCTAATGGAACACCACCATTTCCACCTTTTGGGACAATAAATTGATTTTCAATTCTATTCTGTTCTATATAACAAAATAGAATAAAAATGTTTATACAGAAGAAAAAAAAAATACTTGGAACCAAAACATTCCACTTTGGGTGTGACATCACTTCCAGCTTTGACTACTGAACTAAAATCCAGTAAATATTCAGGACAATCCTTCTGCAAAAGGCTGCAAATGAGCTGAGATTGGTGGAGGTTCTGCTTCTAATAGGATGAGCCTTAACATACAACAAAAAGGTGGTAGAATGGCCTAGTCAAAGCCAAGGTCAAAATCCAGTCCAGAATCTGTGGAGAGTTGAAAACTCTTCTCTTAATCTGATATTGAGCGTTTATTAGCAAAGAATGAAGGCCAAGTGTTTCAGCCTCATAAAGCTGGTAGGCATAAATCTAGAAGCTGATCCCCTGCAATGAATACAGATGCATCCCTGACCTTTCAGCATGTTTCTCATGTAACAATCTTAAGAGAAGAAAGGTTATTCAGGTCTGGAGAATGTCCCTGCTTATTTATGTCACTTTTATTTTGTTTTAATTTTGTCTTTATAGTTTATGTTCACATCAAAAATCAGACAAATTTGTATTATTGTTCCTTCAGTTTTCATGTCTGATTCCTAAATTAAACAGCAAAGAAAAGATTTTAACTTTGTACTTATTTTAAGAACATTATAATAAAGAGATATTTTGAAACTGGTGTAATGGACGAGGGAAAAAAATAAAGGAGGAAACAGAACAAACCAAACAGGACACACTACATTTTTCATGGTTTCTGGCATCTTCTAAAACATCAGCCCTAAAGGTGACCGTAGATCTGGAGCTGATAGGGTGCAAGGTTCCAGAGGGAGGAAGAAAGTACCCCTGGTCCCTCCACTGAGCCATGATTTACACTGTGGGAAAATACGGTAAACTTACGTAACGTGAATCTGAGCGTCAGGTTGTGTGGATATAGTAAACACTGGTAAAATCCCCATCACTGTGCAGGAACAGGGCAAAACACACAGCTTAAAGAAAGTGCTGGTTTGGGATCAGTTTGATGCTCAGTGCAACAGGTGGAAACGCGCCTCTAAGTTTAAGCTCTAAAAGTTATTCTTCATCCTAATGAATAATGAGGTTAATCTGCCTTAAAAGTTACTTTTCTGTCCCTCTAGTTGTGTTGCTGCTACTCACCAGGGTAGAGTCTCTTTCCTTCCGCTGCTTAGACGCGTTTGTTAGTGGATTGGTAAAAAAAAAAAAGGGGGAGAAAGTCTTGCTGCACTTTGCAAACTTGTTTGCTCCGATAAAGTCTGCTGAGTGAGAGAGAAGGGCGTCCGATCCTCCGGGAGGAGTCCGGCCGCTCCGCCTCCGGAGAGGAGCGCACAAACCCGCCCACCCACTCAGATCCACCAGCGGATTCTCACCGCAGACCTGCTGCACAGACTTCCAGGAAATGTTCGGTCAAACTTTTCAACCGCTTTACATCCAGCACAGCTTCATTCACTACAAGGTCCTGAATTATAGAAATAAAACAAAGGAAGTATCACTCAAAAGTTATATTTACACGTAGAAATGGTGATGAATAATTGCTTTTGTTGAAAAAATACTCATGGAGATTCTTTTAAACTTTTTGGGAAACATTTGATTGCATCTTATTAAATATTCTGTAATAATAATAAAAAAAAAAACTACTGTTAGTACGTCACTACTTATTAACACTTTGCATAAAAGTTATTGGTAATGCATGTCTTTAAAAAGCTAGAGCGCCATCTAGTGGACCGAAGAGGAGAAAGGGTGCTTAGGAAGTGCTTAGGAAATATAATAATATATTTAAATAAATAATTGCATTTCTATCTTTTAGTTTTGCGGATTCCCTCTGATATTTAACATCTTATTTACAACTTTTTTTTATTGTTCATGAAATTTAACTTATTTTTTGCTAAAATAATTGGTGCTCTGAAGGACTTCTTCAATTTATGATCCAAAGGATCATATACAGGTGCTGGTCATAAAATTAGAATATCATGAAAAAGTAGATTGATTTCAGTAATTCCATTTAAAAAGTGAAACTTGTATATTATATTCATACATTACATACAAACTCATATATTTCAGATGTTTATTTTGTTTAATTTTGATGATTACAAATGACAACAAATGAAAATCTCAAATTCATCATATCAGAAAATTAGAATATTACTGAAGACCAATAAAAACAAAGGATTTATAGAAATGTTGGCCAACTGAAAAGTATGAACATGAAAAGTATGAGCATGTACAGCACTCAGTATTTAGTTGGGCCTCCTTTGGCCTGTATTACTGCAGCAATGCGGCGTGGCATGGAGTCGATCAGTCTGTGGCACTGCTCAGGTGTTATGATAGCCCAGGTTGCTCTAATAGTGGCTTTTAGCTCTTCTGAATTGTTGGGTCTGGTGTATTGCATCTTCTTCTTCACAATACCCCATAGATTTTCTATGGGGTTAAGGTCAGGAGAGTTTGCTGGCCAATTAAGAACAGGGATACCATGGTCCTTCAACCAGGTACTGGTAGCTTTGGCACTGTGTGCAGGTGCCAAGTCCTGTTGGAAAATGAAATCTGCATCTCCAAAAAGTTGGTCAGCTGCAGGAAGCATGAAGTGCTCTAAAACTTCCTGGTATGTGGCTGCGTTGACCCTGGACCTCAGAAAACACAATGGACCAACACCAGCAGATGACATGGCACCCCAAACCATCACTGACTGTGGAAACTTTACACTGGACTTCAAGCAACGTGGATGAAGTGCCTCTCTTCTTTTCCTCCAGACTCTGGGACCTTGATTTCCAAAGGAAATGCAAAATTTACTTTTATCAGAGAACATGACTTTGGACCACTCACCAGCAGTCCAGTCCTGTTTCTCTTTAGACGCTTCTGACGCTGTCTGTGGTTCAAGAGTGGCTTGACACAAGGAATGCGACAGCAGAAACCCATGTCTTTCATACGTCTGTGTGTGGTGGTTCTTGAAGCACTCACTCCAGCTGCAGTCCACTCTTTGTGAATCTCCCCCACATTTTTGAATGGGTTTTGTTTCACAATCCTCTCCAGGGTGCGGTTATCTCTCTTGCTTGTACACTTTTTTCGACCACATCTTTTCCTTCCCTTCGCCTCTCTATTAATGTGCTTGGACACTGAGCTCTGTGAACAGCCAGCCTCTTTAGCGATGACCTTTTGTGTCTTGCCCTCCTTGTGCAAGGTGTCGATGGTCGTCTTTTGGACAACTGTCAAGTCAGCAGTCTTCCCCATGATTGTGTAGCCTATAGAACTAGACTGAAAGACCATTTAAAGGCTTTTGCAGGTGGTTTGAGTTAATTAGCTGATTAGAGTGTGGCACCAGGGGCCATCAATTTTGAACCTTTTCACAATATTCTAATTTTCTGATATGATGAATTTGAGATTTTCATTTGTTGTCATTTGTAATCATCAAAATTAAACAAAATAAACATCTGAAATATATGAGTTTGTATGTAATGTATGAATATAATATACAAGTTTCACTTTTTAAATGGAATTACTGAAATCAATCTACTTTTTCATGATATTCTAATTTTATGACCAGCACCTGTATATATATAATTCTTTGAATATTCTTTTGTAATAGACTACAACCTAAATTTTTCGATTTGTTTTTCATTATAACCTAACTCTGATTTTACTTTTATTTTATTTTTTTTAGATTGCAGGTGTTAATCAAATTGCCAAACAGTTATGTTTTAAACCAGGAGTATAACGAATCAGCTCCAGTCTGAGCTCAAGATGTCAGACACTATTTCATTGGACTTATTTCGAGCGGTTCTTAAAGATAGACAACAAGCTTCTATGAAACAGTGTCACTGCTTTTAAATTGTTTTTATTGTTTTATATTTGCTCATATGTAGGCTAGTTATTGGTTTTATTTTTTGTAACCAGGTTGCAGCGTATTGCAGCAATATTTTGATATTTCACTTGTTTAATTAAAACTTTTAGATTTTTCTTTAGATTTCATTTAATTTTTCTGTGTACTAAAAATAAGTTAAATGAAAGCATTAAATGTTTAGTATTAAAAACACTTTAGAATGTATTTTTCTGTGCTCATTTTAGCAAATGACACCAGAAAAAAATAATGTTTGCTGATACTATCACTTGTTATGATGGTATCATATCATAGCCAGTTTTTTTTTAAATAGATATAACCAAAACAGGTTATCTTGTGGAAATGGGAATTAAAGAAAAAGCAATCCGACTAAGAAAATAAAGGAATATAATGTTAATCAGACATTAATTACTCTCAAACATGATTTATATTTCCTATAGAGAAACTACTTGAGCAAAATCTGGTTAGGGTGAAATCAAGGAGCAACCAAACCTGTAGAGGTTGTTCCTGAGAAATGTGTAAAATTTGCTTGAATCTGGTGTCCCCTTCCTGTAAACTGCTGACAGTGTAAGACAGACAGTGGAAGAAAATAAATATGTGCTAGTGTTTTATTACTAACAGATCTATAAAAATGCAGATTTTAAAGCTCCATTTGTTCCATTGTGGTATTCATTTTTTATCTATAAGGAAGGAAACCCGATGATGTATCCATATGAAGCTTGCCTTAGCCGGAAATCCGAGACCCAGCTGGCTCCCTTCCTGTGCTGTATTGTTAGTTATGTGTTTACGTATATTTGTGACTGCAGAGCCAGTGCAGGTCCACAGTATTTACTCCCAACCCATGTGCTGGCTTACAGCAGCAGCACTGCCACACAATAGGAACTTTGTTCTCTACTGAGGTACCACAGATGGGCTTTCTGATCATGCTCAGTGCCTCCTGAACAAAAATGTTGGAACTGTTTTTCTTTGCTCAGTTTTCTCAATGGGAACTATTTGTCTTGACTAAATAAATACAATCTATATCTGCAAATCCAGTTGGTGACTCTCCGTAAGTCTACATTATGTTTTAAATGAGTGTTGGGAAAATTGACTCAAGCTGTGTAACCGATTTAGGAGCTATATCAGCCCCAGCTTTTACACAAAGTTGTCCTGTATCTAAAGCAAATAAGCAATTAGCACAGGATTATTATGTAACTTGTGGACAACCCCAACTGGGGCCATTTTAGCCCATTTCCTACCCAATATGCCCCACAAGTAAACAACCTGCAGGCGATACAGATTAATTGATGATGTAATTTTAAGCAAAGGATTTCATAAACCCGTTCAATCCTTGTAGGATCATCTGGGGCTGGTTCACCAGGAAACACAAAAACAAAACATGATGAACAATTATGCAAACTCACAGCATGAGGCAAATTACTGGAGCCAAATTACCTTAGTTTTGACCCGTAGAAGGAAGTCTGAGTACCCAGAGAGAACTCATACGTGCACAGGGAGTTCATTGGCACTTCATGCAGAAGGGATCTAAGCAGGGCTTGCACAATCGCAACACTGTTCAAACAAGGCCAGCAATTTCAAAAATTGCACTTATACTTGTGTCAAAGTGTTTGCAGTGTAAAATAAAATGATGAAATTGGTAAGTAGGGCTTCACATGTTCAGCTACAGTTGTTTTGATTATATTTCATAACTAAATGAGGCTCCATGACAGCTGAAACCTCACGCCTATGCAGAAAAACAACCTTTTCTACATTAAAAAAACCTCCATAGGCTGTGTAGCTGTTAGGAATTTTGACAACCTATGACAAGGAACTGAAAGAGTAATGTGATGAACAAGAGGCCTGTTTTCGGTGCAGCTTGCCTTCTGAAAGTTGGAAGATCTCATTGTTAGCGCAGGAGGAGCAGCAGGCTCTTTGGTCCGGTTTCAAGGATGAGAGCCAAGGACCTTCTGTCAGCTGCCTCAGCTAGCAGCCATGACAGGAAGTCAGCTTTCAAACATGGTGGTCCCACTCCTACAAAAAACATGTACACCCACCACTCTCACACGCTCTGCTTCTCTCTGCGATGAGCTTTGCTGCTTGACAGATCTACGATTTATGCCTCATATCCAAGCTCAACCGCAGACAGAATAGGCAGTCAGCACTTTTTCCCCTCCGAGCATCACCTCTGTCGGAGTGCTGATCTGAGACCAGCCCTCGGAGGATGACAATACTGTCATGCTGATATCTGCATGAAGATAATTCTTTGCAGATGTAGGAGTCGCAGCATTTACGGCATAATTGGCCTTTTTACAACACTTGTGGGATTCAGTCAGAGAGCAAGGAGCAGCCTGGGTTACAGAAACCATTGTATAAAAACAGTTTGGCTCTATAATGGCTGACTTATTTTCAGTGTTG